AATCAAGAAACTGGCATGAGGGCAAAGAGACTCTAGACAGTGCTTCCCAATTCTTCTCCCTTATCTCCTCTCTTAAAATCAGCTATCAGCTATCCTTTCCTCAATTCTCACTCCTCTTGATGCTCCTATTGCTGCCTACACTGCCATTGATTTTCCCTCCTCCCTCCATTACCTGCTTCCCTCTATCCGCTTGAGCGAAATGCACTCCAACAGATTGCCACCCCTAGGGTTCTGTAGTAGCAATGAAAGGAATTTGGTAATAATAGCAAAATTCCCATCGTTCTATGAGCTACTTGGCTTTATTCATAAACCAAAATTGATGATTGTAAATACACTATATGGGTGGCCGAGGAGAGAACTGGGACTATCTCGATCTAGTGCTAGCACTTGGGAACTGGGCAATCCCAAACACATTCTTACATTTTAACCCCTAATAAATTCTGTAACCTTTCTTATTCTGCTTTAGGCTGGCTGGAAGCTGTTACTCCTGGCTTCTATGGAGTGATTTTATCTCGTTCCTCAGGCCATAGGTTGCAATTCCAACCAATCGAGTTGAATCTGAGTTATTTAAGATGCGTCAGATGTCCTTTCAACGTCCACGACGACGCAACATAACAGCAATGGCACCCAAAACGTTGAGATGAGAGATGATAAATGCAGAGAGAGGTGCTATACTCGTGCTGTATTACTTATCATATACCTTTACTACAGTGAAATATTTCATCAAACGTATACTGGAAAGGGGGTTATACTGGTAGTCCAACAAAACTTTCTAAGCGAGACCGGGGCTAATTCTTGGTATATTAAGCAGCACGTCAGGAAGTTTGGAAATATTGTGCATCCCATGTCAGTCTTCGAACTATCGAAACACATACAATATGAGAAAGTAACTTCAAGTACGAGCAGCTAACCGTGTTATCTGGGCTAAAGAACATCGATATTGGACAGCTGAGTACTAAGAAAGTTTTATTGAGGATGAATGCAGTATAGAAAAATCAGCTACAGGGGCCCAAAACATGGATGTGGAGATTACCCTCATACGTGTGTGATAAAGTATTGTACCTATGAAAAAGGAAATGGGACGTAATTAATGGTATGCTTCAAGGGTAGTACCTCCCTTTAGTGGTTCATTCTTTTAATTTCCTTTGCTCAATAACTTCCCCTATGCACCTTATAGCTGTTTGTTGAGATATTCGACTTCTAATTATAGTTCTTTGGTTTTAGCGCACTAATTGGTTAGATTGTTGTCTACATATCAGTCAACCGAACTTCGGTATGCGTCACATCTTGAATCAATACATGCTTAGTGACATCAACGCCGGACTCTTCAGGTAACGAACGCATTATTACTAACTGATATATTCCTTGGATCCGCAAATTGAACAATTGCTAATATTTGATCTTTTGATGGCATTGTGATTTGGGAATTGGAAGTGGTAAAATGGTTATTCTAACATTCATCGATGATTTAAATACAGTCAGTCATTGTCACATGAGTACTATACCGATTATGCAATTAGGCAGATAGTGTCCTGTAGTATAACAATGCACAATACAACGATACAATTTAGAGACATATCATGACATCTTGGCACCTCTCTATATAGATATACAGATCGATAACTTTGGCTGCCAACGGCCACCGTTGTGAAGAAGAGTAAAACGGCTAGTCTAAGCAGTAACGTATTATTGCAGTACGGAGTAGGTAGACTTTACTTTACTTTAAGTAGGTTCAGTCGATTCCCAGCCAGGCGTTTGCATGTGCTATTTTGCAACATTCGTCCCTAAGCAAGGGAGGCAGTGCGTGATCTTGTTTGCGGTTGCGTCAATTCTGCAGATCCAGACGAATGCCGTGTCTTTGCTACCTAAAGCTTGTGTCATTGGCACATTCTGATCTAATCTAATCTGGACTTGGCAGATCATGACTAGCAAACCAAGCTATGGGCTTGGCAACTCTAGATGTTTACTGACGTCAACACAGCCAAAGCAATATTATCCGTTGGTCGCGATTCAAATCTACATTATGATATTTGCATGGAGGTGGTACCTGTCAAAGGTGACTCGGAAATTGTCTGTTTGCACTACCGGTACCACCTTGTTTAGGCGGTGACCTCGGTAATACATGTAGGTCTGCTTCGCGGATGCGGTCCCAGATGACGGGACATGACGATTGCAGACAGTCTAGTGGGAGGGCGCGAGTGGTAAACTTGTTTGAGGAAGCCTCTTACTACAGGCGGCTTTTGCGTACGAGATCAGCGTGGCCTGCGATCGCCTACCACCTTCAATGGGCTTTGGTATTCATCATCATGACGTTTGGTTCTTGTGATCCTGAGTGCAATTGGGATTCATTCTTGTTTGTGATTAGCTGAGCGGCCAAGTCACCGAACAATCGCAATCAGAATCGGACGGCAAATGCACGATTCTGGAAAGGTTGTGGGTTTGTATAGTCGTTGGAAATCATCGTCACGACGGTTGTGGCAGTTATGACGGAGTTGGTAGTATGAACCCAACTATGTCTCAATCAAGGAATTGTCTCGTGGCGGTGGGATATCTCCACTCTGGGGGTATAATAGCATCCTTCAGCCCCCTTTAGACCTTTTCTTTTCTTTATTGCATCGACTTTGCAAGAACAAGGCAATCACTACAGAGCAGTTTTCTTACATTACATCCATTGCGTTTATACTCAAGCCTCACATCCATCATGAGTAATATCATTCACAAGGTTAAGGATGCCATTTCTGGCCACGATCATACTACTGATACCACTGGTACTACTGGCACTACACACCGAACACACCGTGCTGGAACCTCTGGAGTTGGCACCACCACTGATACTTCAGCCACCGGAAAGACTGCTGGTCCCCACAGATCAGACATTGCCAACAAGCTAGATCGTAAGTACTTCACGGCATTTTTATTGGCTCGAGATTTTGATCTTTTGCTAACTTGGGTTGTTTAGCCCGTGTTGATTCAAGTAGAGATGGTTCACGGCACGTTGGAACTACAGACACTGGAAAGACTGCTGGTATTGGAGGATTTGGGTCACATCACGAATCTACCTACGGACCACATGGCACCAATGTGGGCAACAAGCTCGATCGTAAGTATTGTCATTTTTCTTTCAAGATTCAATGGTGATAAGTGATACTAACGTTGGGGATATAGCCACTGTTGACTCTGACCTAGACAGCTCTCGTCGAGCCACTGGTGGAGGAGCTTACACATCTGGTCTTGGTACTACTGCTGGTACACATCACACTACCAGTGGACCTCACGACTCAGACCTCTTGAATAAGCTTGATCCTCGTGTTGACTCTGACCGTGATCACCGTGCCGCTGGTACTACCGGAACCTACGACACCGAAAGAACCGGAGGAAGTGACGATAACCCTACCTCCACCAACTATGGTCCACACTCTACCAACGTAGCTAATAAGCTTGATCCTCGTGTTGACTCTGACCGTGATTACCGTGCGGCTGGTACTACCGGCACCTACGGAAGAACCGGAGGAAGTGACGATAACCCTATCTCCACCAACTATGGTCCACACTCTACCAACGTAGCTAATAAGCTTGATCCTCGTGTTGACTCTGACCGTGATCACCGTGCTGCTGGAACCTACGGAGGAAGTGACACCTACCCTACCGGCGGAAGTGACGATAACCCTACCTCTACAAATTATGGTCCACATTCTACCAACATAGCTAATAAGCTTGATCCTCGTTTTGACTCTGACCGCGATTACCGTGCGGCTGGTACTACCGGCACCTACGGAAGAACCGGAGGAAGTGACGATAACCCTATCTCCACCAACTATGGTCCACACTCTACCAACGTAGCTAATAAGCTTGATCCTCGTGTTGACTCTGACCGTGACCATCGCGGTAGTGGTGCTCCAGGATATGGTGCTCATACCACCGGAACTACGCACGGAACTACTCACGGAACTACATATGGAACTACTACTGGCACTACCTACGGGGCTGGGCACACTGGCCCAGCACCGCATTCTGCCGGTCCGCACAAGTCTGACATAATGAACAAGCTAGATCCCCGCGTTGACAGTGACCTTGACGGCTCCAAGACGGTTGGTAGGGACCAGACCTTTGCGACTCCTGGCAGTCATCATGTGTAGGACACCTAACCCCTTATCAATGTGAGCTTCCTTGTTAATGTTTTTAGGGCTCCTCGCTAGAGAGAAAGATACCGCCGATGCGGCACAGGTGCCACCAAGTTTGTTCCAAAAAAGGTACGGCAGTGCCACAGGGAGGAGCAAGGGTGACGCTCTCTAATAGGTGTTTTCTTTTGAGTGTCAAAATTCATGTTGTCGGCTGAATTGGTTTGCATAAATGCGCATGGATACAGGGAGATATTAGTTCGGTCAATGGAAAGGGGATGGATCATCCGTCCGGTTCGTCAATAAATTCGGCAAATATCTTATTAGTAAAATTCAAGTTTTTTTGCAGTTGAATGCAATGATTTTACAGAGTCTCTTACCTGATAATAGGATGAGATTGGTTGCAAGCGAAAACAGGCCCATCTAGTGTTCCAGTCTGCTCTGTTCTGCCTCCTGCCGGAAAGACAAGACCAACAAACAAAAGCTCTGATAGTACATCAACCATTGAACTACATAGCAGAATTCTTGTAGGTAGTCTGAAATTACCCTGAATCATCTCTAACTGCAAGCCCTTTATGAAACTGTATTGACCAAATATGTACATCTCTCAAAATTCTGTACAGTAGCTTATATTATTGAGTGGGTGAGTAATTTTTTGCCGTCCTATGTTGCCAGCCAGTCCTTGGCTAACGTCAACGAAGTGTCGCAGTGATCGTTACCCTCACACCACCAGCTTGCAAGAATCATTGCATGGTAATCCAACCTGTCTCAGGCGGAACCCAAGACGCGCCAAGAAATCGGCAAACTACAGGGCCAAAGTCACAATTGCGGGGAAAGGAAAAAAGGAAAAAGGCACCGGCGAATGGAAAAAAAATAATTAAATTCCGTCGCCGGGAATTGAACCCGGGTTCTGAGAGTACTTCACCCGCTTTGGGGTTGAGAGTCTCAAATGCTAGCCACTACACCACGACGGATGTTTGATTATGGTTTTGGGTTTTGGGTTTTCGGGTTGTAAGTACTTAGGCGCCGCTTGTATGTATGTACTAGTGGAGGGTACATGCATACAAAGAAAAATAGGACTTGTCCACATCCTCAAAAACAATATGTAATGAACAAAGCCGACGAGGTTACGTGAACACACGCCCGACGGAATGTTATAACTATAGGTACATACATACCTCTTGGGAATCAGACCTGAAGGGAGATACTTTATTGGAAAGAGGAAGGATATATTAAGGTAGACTGCTGTAATAAGAGAAGGTTTTTGCCTTTTATTTCTGAAACTGAGCGCTGGTAGGTAGACCCGCTTGGAGAAAGCAGTTTTGATCTCCCATCGCTATATGGCTATGAGCTCATAGCTGTGTGTGTGGCCTGATGGATAAACTTCAATATCAAAATAACCGTGAGAGAAAATTTATCGTTCATGTGTCCCAGCTCCAGCCGAATAAAAATTCATATGTGATTGATATTAGACGCCATACGCATTCCCCCATACCGATACAAATTTTTTTTTTTAAATATATAATCTAACTTTTCTCTCAAACATATATATGTACTTATGTATGTACTTAAATACCTACCCCCGACGCAGCAGACAGAACTCGTTTTTTTTTTTCTTTCTCTCTTCACTGTCACTCTCTTTCGTCGAGGTAATTGTTTTTTTTTTTCTGGTATCAATTCCAAATCTCTTGAATTTAGCCCTGTCCCCTCCTCGCGAGACACAGGGGTGCCTGCTATTTGATGTACCACTATTGATATTCGTGAACGGAGACTATTGGTCTGGGGTGGGGGGGTGTTACTTTCGGGAAGCATTTCTATGACCCTCCCCCCCCCCAAAAGAAAAAAAATCAACAAAAAAGAGCTCGGGGCATCAATGCCTTTCTCTCTACATAGAGGAGTACCACTGGCGATTGGAGATAAACGTTTGTGTTGCAAGAAACATGAGATGGCTGAATTCAAAGACTAAGTACGTACATACATACATCAGGTACCTCCTCTAATTAATAAATAATGTTTAATTTCTTTTCTATTTCTTTTTCTTTTTCTCTTTTTCGCTTCCTTCCCTTTGTGTATCTTATTTTTTTTTTCTTTATGTTTCCTTTCTAAACCGAACATAAAAAAAAAGGAAAGAAAAAAGAAAAGAAAAATATACAAGGGATCTACCCATAACCACAAGTACTAGGTATTTATTTATTTATTTAATTGTTTATGGGTTAAAACAGCCATAAAAAAAAACAGAAAAATATCAAACTAATAATACATGGCATTTAAAACTCATTGTACAGCAGCAGCAGATGTATAAATTACCCCTCCTCTCCCCTCCTCCCCTCTTCCCCCTCTTCCACCCCACACCCTTACACACACACATACAAAAACATAACCTATCACTACTTTCACCCCTTCCTATTCAATGCATCCATATCCCTCGCATGCTTGACGACCAGGACATCCGCCTCCTCCTTGTTATCCAGATATATCGTAAAGCCATCATCATGATTCCTTCCATACGAGTATCCACTAAATCCAAACTGCCAGTACAACGTACCAGCCAACTTCTGCTGGACCGCAGTTCTTTGCCACTCCCCCACGACAGGAATCCTGTGCTCTGTTGAATTCTTGCCAAGATACTCGAGCCTCTTTTCGGGGGTGAGCCATCCGTATTCCTCAAAGACTACGGGCTTGCCGAGTTTGTATTGCGCGGTCGCGTGGTCCTTAACCCACTGCGTACCCCACGCGGAGGTCTTGCTCCACCAGTCTGGGTACAGGTGGAATGTGCCGTAGTCGACGTTGGGGAGGGAGAGCTCCTTGTAAAAGTCCCCGCCGTTGCCGGAGGAGTACGCCCAATCGTCGCTGCGATTGGGGAAGTTGAATTCACCTATTTAATTTCAATTGGATGGTTGTTAGGGAATTACTTTTTCTAATATTCATTGGTGGAGGGGAAGGATTGTTGGGAAAAGGCACCTTCGCTACCAGTAGAGACCAAGTGGTAAGGATCGAGCTTCTTGATGTAGGCGCTGATATCCTTGACCCAAGCGCTTATACGCTTGTCGTCGCAATCCGCTGAGCGAGGGAGGTTGCGGACGCCGTCAGCCCCGCACCTGGGCTCGTTGGCTAATTGCCAGGACATGATGGCTGGGGAGTGTTTGTAACGGTTGATGAACACCTTGAGGTAGTTCTTGTAGGCTTTGACGATCTTAGGCATGTGGTAGAAGTCGTCGTGGTATTTCCCACCAAGGTTGACAGTGTAGACGTCCATTCCACCGTAATCCGCCCACTGTATACATGTATAAAAACATGCTCATCAGCCCCGCTTAATTCTTCAAGTACAAACATAGATTAATAGCTACGTACGTTGTTGGTCAATGCAACCACGAGCTTGATACCAGTCTTCTCAGCAGTCCTGACGACCTTGTCGAATGCCTGAAGACCAGTTGGGCCATAGTTGATAGATGGCTTTCCATGATCCCAGCTCTGGAAGTACACTTTCGATGGACCGGCACCCTCGCCACCGTATTTGGGGAGACCCCGCGGATCAAAGGTGACGTTCTTGTCAAAGAAACCCCATGTTCGGAAGACCTTCAATCCAGCCGCTGTGGCTGCCTTCATACCAAGCTCGACATCGGTTCCATTCTACAAGCCTTGTTAGTATGTTGTAGCTGCGAATATCGGAAATCGGCGGTTCATACATCACCAAATGGGAAATAATAGGCATTCGTTCCCGCAAAGTAAAAGTCCTTGCCGTTGAGCTGGAACTTTGTACCCTTTGTTGTGACAAATCCCTTAGGAGTCTTGCGCGCACCGGCATCAACACCAACGAGGCCAGAGGCCAATGCCAATAAACCGAGGAAAACCGACTGAATAAGCATTGTAAGAGAGTATGTCCAATACAATAACCAACTTGAAGGAAATGAACGAACCGTATTGACTGAGGAGGTCATAGAAGGGGCATTGTTCTCGGTTTTATATCCACGCCTTCACATATCAGTCCTGTAATCTCAATACCCCTAAGCTTCCGACTGTTCCTGCGTCTGTAACCCACCATGACCCTGGAAATGTCTCTTTTCAAGATTACGCTGAGGTCCTTCTATCATCCTTCGTTTACATCCTAGGAAAGTTAATCCCGGGTAGGCAGGAATCGTGCATATATATATGCGAACGAGTAGTACGGCTCGTTTCAAGGATGGTTCCAGGGTATCCATGTCACTCATTGCATTACGTATTCTTTTTTGGCAAAAAGTGTGTTAGCATCGTGGGAGGACAAGGTGACAATACACTGCGAAGAGAGTGGTACATACAACTTTGTGGCAAGCGATCTGGTGGTAATATAAGACAGTGTGAGAGATGGCTGAAGCCAATCTGAGCCGAGGGGCAAGTTCAAATGCTTGGTCGATATATATGTTGAAAAGATAGTCCTGCTAACCCCTCATCTACGGGACAATACACCCGCCAAAAGCAATATACTCTACCCCTCCGCAGCGATGGTAAAGTCCCGTAGTGTACATGATGCCTAACGCTGCGAAATGACGGGAAAACCCCATGCGGAATGGTCGTAGTACGTGCGGAGGTATATAGGGAGTATAGCATGCTGTAGGGCTGAGGTTGACAGCTTCCAATTCAGCCGCAACCCATCGGATTAATATCGCCAAAAGACAATACATAATGCAGGATGTTTATATACCCAATTGATTCAGTTGATTCAATCAGGGACGAAGGGGTAAGTAAGCCCTTCCATTGGAAACGTTGATATCAATATCGTCACGTTGCCCTTTTTGGGGGGGGCCGACCCCACAACTCTCTAGTACCATCTCCTATACCTTTAAATACTTTGAATATATATCCTCAGTGACCTATATTGATAACAAGATAAAAAGTAATTGAAGCAATGAATGATCCTCCACTAGAAGAGCTTCATTTTAAAGATATTCAGCGGCCCCAGCATCTCCGAAGCCACAGGGATTTTTGGCAGAGAAATAACGCCAGAGAAGTTATAGAGCAAAGCCATTCCCGTGTGTTGGGTCTGTAGTTAGAGGCAGAAGGAGTGAGGAAGGCTTCAAACTTGAATTAACTTGATATCTCAGTAAGTATGTATATATCGAACGTCATCAAAAATCAAACATGATGGTGCAAACACGCCTTTTATATGAGCATCCTTACCAGACCATTTGATAGCACTACCCCCCAAACCAGTAATATATTTCTGGCAGACATCCACACATGAATGCTACCTCAGCACCTAAAACGGCAACCCAAAGGCAAGTTCCAAACGAAGTATTGAGCCTATCCTCAACCTCGACCTCGAGAGACTCCATAACTTCTCGGACTATACTCCATCGTTCCCACAGGAATTATGAGCAGGGATTGTTTTTGGAGCAAGGTGAAGAATCCCTTGAATCCTCCGCTCAGATATAAATGTCTTTGCATCCCCATGGGTTTTGTCGGTGTCTACTAGCTGAGCTCGCGGAAAATTCCCTTGCTCTCTGGTAGTGTGAAGCATTACCTACAATCTCTAACCTATAGACAGCCTGTAAGAAATACTCTACCAAACATGTGGATATAAAGACATGTGCGAGGCATGAGCATCGAGCCAAACATCATATGGACATGAGATAAGATGGAAGAAGACATGTGAACGAACATGTGCGAGCAAAGCAAATCATGTATATATAGACAGCTAGATTGCCTCGTTAGGAGGAGTATCAATAAGACAGACAATCTCACACATACCGACAACCTCACACGTACTAAATCACTCCGACCTTCTCTCTCCAATCACTATATCTCATAATCCTTACGCAGCCCACTCATCAAAGTCTCATAAAAGTTCGTTATACCTTTCCGATTTGTGGGTCCTCGGTTCAGGGTAACGCCATACCGTTCACCCCGTCTCCGATCATATAAGTCGGTACCTGAGTCTACGTATTGCACACACACACAAGGCTGGCACGATAAACCGCGTGGGAGGTACAAAGGCAGT